TGGAACTGTGGGAGGCCAGACTTGTAATTATCTGGTGACTGCTTTTGCCACGATGACTGTGCAGTTTGCGTGCTGGAAATGTGCGTAGATGACACTAATTATTCTCTTTATGCGTGTCTGTATGTGACCCACCTTGCTCTTGCTGTCAGGGCTCGCCAGGGTCTTGCTACCATTCCCTGTGGGAGACTTGGCCGTCCCTTTCACTCCCTTCTCCTCCTTCTTCTCATCCTTGTTGGTCTTCTCCGGCTTGTCCACCTTTTCCGCCTTCTCATTGGCCTTGTTGTTTTTCTCCGCGTTCATCTTCTCTAGCTTCTCCTCGTTTTTGATTATCTTCTCAGACTTCTGGTTCTTGTCTGGGCCGTAGTCCTTCTGCTGTTCTTCCTTCTTGTCAAAGTTGTCAATCTTGTCTGTTTTCCCAGACACGATGTCTGTCTTCTCCTGCTTGTCCTTGTTGTCAGATTTAACTGTGAAAGAAAGAATGCTGTCATTAGCGTCAGACTATTTTAACAAACCCTGTTGCATAATGAGTAACGGGATGTGACTGGAGACAAAAGAGCCCACATATATAAATTCTAAATTGTAACAAAATTCTAATAAATGTCATCAAATATCAAGATTCTGCTCAACTTACAACATGATTTTGAAAGCTGCTTTGCAGTAAGCAAAAGGGGGATGTACATATTAGGTGCAGTCTAGTTCATATTCTCAAAATCTCTATATCTCTAGCTTTAAAAACAAAAAACAAAAACGCCACTGCACTTTACAGGAAAGGCCAGAGTCATCTCTATTTTCTGAGGTGGCTGAAGTCCTTCAACATCTGTTGGACAATGCTCAGGATTTTCTGTGTGTCTGTTGTGGCCAGTGCTATCCTCTATGCTGTTGCATGCTGGGGCAGCAGGTTGAGGGTCGCAGATGCCAATAAACTGATCCGCAAGGCCAGTAATGTTGTGGGGATGGAGCTGGAATCCCTTAAGGTGATGTCGGAGAGGCGAATGTTGTCCAAGATAAAGACAATGCAGGATAATACCTCCCACCCACTCCATGACGGGCTGGCTAGTCACAGGAGCACGTTCAGTGAAAGACTGAGATCACCAAAAAGCACCACTGAATGACACAGGAAATCATTCCTGCCTGTGGCCATCTCCCTGCACAGCTCCTCCATCTAACACACTGTAAACACTGCAATAGTTACATCCTTTTTGCACACACTCTTTTCTACTCAGTAATGTTGCTGTCAACATTCTTGACATTTATTTATAATCACCTCCGTCAATCCTTGATATTTATTATTTAGTGATTTGTATATATTGTGCTATTTCTTAAATTTCATAAATGTGTAACATATTGTATTGTAAAATAGTCTTGTCTGTTTCTGTTATTGATATTTATACTGGAGCAACTGTAACCCACATAATACCTAAGGGATTAATAAAGTATGCTGATTCTGATTCTGATTTAAGATAAGTGCTATCTGAGTAGAAAGCATGAATCCGTTTTAACATTTTACTTTCTACAAGGTTAAATAAAAATCAGCCTCACAAATCAATCATCCAGGCATAATTTAAAACATTCTGTATGTTTTAAACCAGCAGTTCCCAAACTTTTTTGCACCACTGACCGGTTCGTTTATTGTATTTATGGTGGATAAATACAACAAAATAAAACCAGTACTGGTACCAAAAAAAAGAAGATTTATTCATAACACACGGGAAAAGACCCAGAGAAACTGAGTTAACGATAAAAAAACATAAAAACCCTGAAAACCATAAACTGAAAACCTCAACTCTCGCGGCCCGGTACCAAACGACTCACAGACCAGTACCGGTCTGTGGCCCGGGGGTTGGGGACTGCTGCTGAAAAAATAAATAAAATAAAAGACAAATGTAGTAATGAGTAAAAGAAACCAAAGCTGAATGCTGCTAAGAGATTTGCTGACTTATCCACCCGTCCCGGATCTTCTCTGAGCTTCTTCTCTGGCACTAACAATGTGCACTCATTATTTGTTAAATGGCCCTCGTCATATCGGTGTAAGCAAAGGCCATCTGAAGCTATGAAGAAACCACGTCTGTGAAATGATAAAGATTATTCTGTCCTGTGAAATGTAAGAATATACAGTGACATACAAACAGGACCAAGCTTGAGCACAAACTTTAATCCAGTGTGGCACCTAAATGATGACACAGTGCTAATGTTGAAGGTTGTGTTCACCAACAAAATCCATCACATCAAATGATCTTCTGGTTGCAACTGCACTTTTGTTATTTATAGATTTGAATCTCCACATGGAAGGTTTTATGTAGGTCGAGGCAGCAGATGATTCTGGGTCTGGCTGGTAAACAGGCCAGCACCATCTATTTTATTGTACTGCCTTATGTAAGAGCTTGCAATGGTGAGGCTGTATCCTCACAATAATCCATGTCAGAGGGGCCAAACCCTATCCAACCCTGAACCCTTTTTAAGAGTCGATCTGTCATCTTTTCTATGAACTAGATGACTTATATCTCTCTTATGATTCATCTATAATTAGATTTTATTTGTCTTTATTTGTATTGTACTGTTTATAAGAAATACAAAATATCACTGCATATTTAGCATTACAAAATACCTAAACCATTTCTTTTAAGAAACACCATCTATCATTAAATGCTTAATAACTACAAAGTGCAGAGTACTCTAACAGTTTGGAGAATAAAACTAATGCAAACACAAAATGAGGTTCCAGCACGAAGGTTTAAAAGCTGCATTTGCAAGTGAAATTAATAGGTTGTTAGTCTCGATTTAAAGGTCTCGATGGTGATCTTAATAAATTATTCCACAACAGCAGAGCTCTACCACCAACTGAGTCCTTAATAATCTGGGAGATACTTAAATAGCTTGCGCCCTGTGATCTGAGTTATGGTGGAACATGGAGACCAAAAAAATGATCTCCAACGACGGTGAAAGGAGGCCTGTGTTATGGCCCCAGTTCTTCCGTATCTGGTTAACATCTCTGAGGATGATATGGCAATCATATCAATCAATCATATCAATCAATCATATCAATAGACTATCTTCAGCACCTCTCCCAAGAGTGAAAATCCTCAAATTAAATGTGGCGTGTTTTTCTCACTACGAGAACGACAGAATGACATCATGAAGAACAAAGAGTACAAAAAACACCTGAAGTTTGGCCTACAGGGATACTTCTACATAAAATTTCCACATTATTTGAAACTTTAAACATGCCACTGTAATAATACTCGTGTTTACATAAATTCCAGTGTTTTTCAGTGTGTCACGTGGTTATGAAGCACCTTTGGCGGTAATAACTGATCCACAGAGGAAAAAGGACAATAAAGTGAAAGAAAGAAAGTAAACAGGGATACATGAGGAGAGCAAAGGGGAATAGTTAATGAGGTCGATGGGGTTAAGGACACAGCAGGGCTGAGGGCTGCGAGCAGAAAACGACAGAGGCCTTTTGTTGCCATGAAGACACATCTTATGTAACTGTGACAGTGGAAAGGCCTGGCTGTGCTGTACCCTAATGCCTCCCCCCTCTTGCCCCCTGTTTACTGTGCGATAACCGCTCTTCCTCCTTTCAACCGATGGCAGCTTGCTGCTGCTGTGCTTTCTCCAACAATCAAGCAGCATCTACAGCTGTCATGAAAAAAGATCCATTTTCTTATGCTGCTCTTAACTGGAGCTGCAAACTAGCCTGCAGTAGAGATCAAATCAGGCACAAGCAGTAATGAGCACAGATAGTTGCCACATGAATGGCTCACGTGTGCCGGTAAGGTGCCACAGTATGTTCAGCATTCAGTGCTACTGTCCTATTTATCCTGCTGCTTCTCTCTTTTTACTGGTTGTCTGCCCCAGTGATTTATTTTGTGGTGGCTTATCAAACTGTAAATGAAGTCACTTCCTGCCCTGGAAGGTTAAGCTAATGTTAATGCAAACTCATAACTTGCTGCAGTCGCTTAAAGAGGCCTTGATGGCCGAGATTTATTGCAGAGCTTTGGCCCGGTCTGATTTTGGTGAAAATAAATCAATATTATCCATTTCATTCATATAGCAGCAAACAAACTAAAAGGAGGAATTGATGAGGCATCCTGACCTCTTCAGCTGCAGTGAACAGCAAAGGTCCATAAAATGTGTCTCTTATTCCAAACAATATTACTCAGCGTCTTTTTTTAGTCTTTCGATAACGGCAGAAATCAACACTGAGTGTTATAGAAACTTCTCACAGACAGTGAAATCCAGCCAGTGCAAAAGAATACTGAGTCGGCAGCACACTTCATTAACACGTTCCAGTTTGATCAATTCGATCAAAATCAATGGAGCAGAGGCACACATACTGTCCTTTTCATGCCACACAATCCTTTTCTGTGGTGCCTGCGTTTAGCCACAATAGAACTTTACTAGTGATAGTTCAGCAATACGAAGCACAAGATTCAGCGACAAGCTTTCTGTGGCTTTAAATAACCTTCTTAAATCCTTCTTCATACAAGCCTAGAGACTGGTTTGTGATATCCTGGTAACTAGGGATGGGTATCGTTTAGGTTTTATGCGATACCGGTGCCAAACCGGTACTTTTGAAACGGTGCCGGTGCTTAAACGGTGCTTAAAGAATGGAGAACACAAAATTGGTCCAAAAACCTCTCATGTTCAGCTGTTTTTTTGTAAAAAGATAACA